GATGAAAGTGAAAAAGGAGAGTGAAAAGTTTGACTTAAAACTCAACATTCAGAAAACTAAGATCATGGAATCTGGTCCCATCACTTCATGGCAAATAGATGCGGAAACAATGGAAACAGTGACAGACTTTATTTTCTTGGGCTCCAAAATCACTGCAGATGGTGACTGCAACCAATAAATTAAAAGACTCTTGCTCCTTGGAAGAAAAGCTATGACAAACCTAGACAGCATATAAAAAAGCAGACATTACTTTGCCAACAAAGGTCCATATAGTCAGAGCTATGGTTTTTCCGGTAGTCATGTATGGATGTGAGAGTTGAACCATAAAGAAGGCTGAGCACTGAAGAATTGATGCTTTTGAACTGTGGTGGTGGAGAAGACTCTTGAGAGTCCCTTGGATAGCAAAGAGATCAAAGCAGTTAATCCTAAAGGAGATCAGTCCTGAATATTCATTGGAAGGACTGATGCTGACACTGAAGCTCCAATACTTTGGCCACCTAATGTGAAAAACTGACTCCTCAGAAAAGACCCTGATGCTGGGAAAGATTGGAGGCAGGAGGAAAAGGGGACCACAGAGGATGAGATGGCTGGATGGCATCACCGACTTGATGGACATGAGTTTGAGCAAGCTCCAGGAGTTAGTGATGGACAGGGAAGCCTGGCATGCTGCAGTCCACGGGGTGGCAAAGAGTTGGACATGACCGAGCAACTGAACAGAACTGAGAAGAAAGGTCCTCAACAAGATTGGACCTTGGGGATGACTTGGATACCACTGATATATAAGGTAATTGAGGTTACAAGGCAAAGAACTTTCCTTGGTAGGAACCAACAAAGGAAGTAACCAGAGCTGGCTTCACCAATACCTGACTCAGACTCTCTCAGCGACTCTTGCTGTGAAGGGCCCTACCCTTGGCTTAATGCTCTGCAGTCACTGTCCTGAAATTTTCAGTAATTTTGAACAAGATACCCTGCATTTCCACATTGTACAAGGACCCTGCAAATTCTGTTTCAAAACCTGGAGGAAATAACACAACTTAAAATTGTGTGTCAGCTCCACAGAGGAAGCCCTGACTGCTAGTAACAGAGACCCAGCCACTCTCTCTCAGAATTGGAGGTCCACAGGACTTCGGAAGTGATTTTGGAGCTCCTGCTCTATTTTTGTAAAATTCTCTGGACTGAGCAGCTCTGGGTCCCACAGCCCACTGGACATACCCTGGGAGGCAGAGAGGCATTGGCTTTCAGAAATCTCAGAAAGCACAACAAATCATTTTTTCCTTGCCCTTGTTGTGAATCATTTCACATGCTTATTGAACCAGCGGTTGGCAAGGGGAGTGATTGGTAAGTGGAGCTGAGGGTAAGTCTGCCTTTCCTAAGGACTGGATCTGAACAAGAGCTCTTCTGGACAGAGGAAGGGGAGTGGCTGCCAGCAGCATGTGGCCTGATTAGGAACTGGCCTTGCACTAACTATCTCCTTAGCTCTCAACCCACAGCCCTTGCCAACCAACTTCATACCTTTAACAAAGTTTTTTTCCAGAGTTGAGTATTTGTACGTGAAGTTTCACTTTATTGTTAAAAGTATTTCCTTCAATTAAACAAGAATTCACATTTTTAAAATCTGAGTATGTGTGACATTTCTAAATGCCTCCAAAAGGGACAGGGATAGAATTACATTTCTGTTTATATTAATACTTACTTTTTGCTTTTTAAAGCAATATATATCCTTTAGAAAAAGTCTGAAAAATACTCCCAAATCCAGTTTTATAAAAAGTCATCTGTAGCCCCATGATATAATTCTGGTTAACATTTTGATATTTCATTCCACCCTCCTCTCTGTGAATGTGTGTTCCTGTTTATTATAGTCACATGGTACATCAAATTTTATATTCTGCCTTTTTCCCCTCTTTTTTCCTTATTGTAGTTTCATGACTTTTACTCCTGTTACCCTGTAGTCTCTTCAGAAACTGTACTTTTTAATGATTGCATAATTGATTTAACTTTTCATAAAATCTTTCAGTTCAGTCGCTCAGTTGTGTCTGACTCTTTACCACCCCATGGACTGCAGCATGCCAGGCTCCCTGGTCGTTCACCAACTCCTGGAGCTTGCTCAAACTCATGTCCATCAAGTCGGTGATGCCATCCAGCCATCTCATCCTCTGTGGTCCCCTTAACATTTTGATTTCAATCTTCCCTAGCATCAGGGTCTTTTCCAAAACTTAGTTCTGCACATCAGTGACCAGAGTATTGGAGCTTCATGTTGAGCATCAGTTCTTCAGCTTGAATATTCAGGACTGATTTCCTTTAGGGTTGACTGGTTTGATCTCCTTGCAGTCCAAAGGACTCTCAAGAGTCTTCTCCAACACCAAGTGGGAATACAGAGTCACCGTAATCACACCAGCCTCTTCTGAAACTATGTATGTGTCTGTACCAGGTGAATCTTGAGCAGCACATGGTTGAACTGCTCAGGGTCACTTAGATGAGGATTTATTTTTTAAAGAGTAAGTTAGTTCTACATCTACAAAATCTTTTAGAACTAACACCCAAAAAANCATTGATAGTACTGATGCTGAAGCTGAAGCTCCAATACTTTAGCTACTTGATGTGAAGAGCCAACTCACTGGAAAAGACCCCGCTGTTGGGAAAGATTGAGGGCAGGAGAAGAAGAGGGCAGCAGAGATAGTTAGACAGCATCACTGACTCAATGGACGTGAATTCGAGCAAACTCTGGGAGATAGTGGAGGACAGAGGAGCCTGGTGTGTTGCAGTCCGTGGGATGCAAAGTCAGACAGTACTTAGTGACTGAACAACAACATCATACTCTTAAGAGACCCTGCAATCCCACCTCAGACAATCAAACCTAAGCTCACCATGTTGCTTTTAGTCACTAAGTCACACCTGACTCTCAGGACCCTATGGACTATATCCCGCCAGGATTCTCTGTTCATGGGATTTTCCAGGCAAGAATACTGGAGTGGGTTGCCATTTCCTTCTCCAGGGGATCTTCCTAACCCAGGGATCAAACCACAGTCTCCTGCATTGGCAGGAGGATTCTTTACCACTGATCGACCAAACTCACCATACAATGAGGCTTATCACAGTATTATTTACTTCCTATAAAATTTGGAGTATCAGTGGCCATTAATTCATACTGAGCGCTTGATATATTCCACACATGTACTAAACATGTATCATCTAAGTCTAAAAAAAAAAAAACCTATAAAAACATGTGGACACGCAGGCTGGGAATGATCAAGTTCCTTGCCTTCTGACATTCATTTCCATATGTTTATTCACTACACGTAACGAGTAAATAAATTACTGGTCATATACCTTTGGAACTCTGATGTTAAAAACAACAGTTATGAATACTATTTAACATGAAAAATGCCTACGTTTAATGCTATGTGAAAAAGTAGGATGTAAAGTATAATTTTTTTAATAGGGAAAAGATTGATAGTAGATATACTATGATATAAACAAATAATAATATAGCATAACTGAAAATACTTTTTCTTCCTCCTATTATGCAGTCTCCAAATTCTATTTAATATATTAAATGCCCACAATGACTCCCAATTACCTACAGGATAAAAAAGTTATCCTAGCACTGCCCCTAATACCCCCACCCTAGTCCTGCCCACCCACTCCCTTCCCCTGTTTCAGCGGCACTTAAAGCCCAGTCATGCTCTCCCCAACCCAAGCCCAGCCACAGCATCTCTCCAAGACCGCGAACGCCCTTGTTCCTTTCCTGCTCTTGCAGAGTTCGTACTCATCCCTTAGAATCCAGCGCCAGCCTCGACTCCTCTAACCAGCCCTCCAGACACCCCCACAGGGGCATGCCCTCCTTCCTCTGAGGCCAGGCGCTACCTCTGCCCCCAAGGCGCCCAGAACACAGCGTCCAAGGAGCAGGGAGCCCGCCCCTTGCCACAGATGCAGCGATGGGAGGCGGGGGAGGCGTGTGGAACGCTAACCCTCCGTGGCCCCGCCCGGGGCCCCGCCCCGTCCCGCGCGACGCTAACCCCACGTGACGCCGCCCCGCCCCCGCGCGCTGCGCGGTACCCTTTTAAGGCCGCGCGGGCGGCGGTTCCGCCTCCCTCCCTGGCAGGTGTTACCGTTCTCTGCTCGGTCTCAGCCGCCGTTCATTTGGCGGCCGTGGCGCCTCCGCCTGGGAGTCGACGTTTCGGCCTCGCAAGGAGCCCTCAGGCGGAAGGACTTCTTACCTTCTGGATCCTCTTCAGCGCCATCTTACCCCCGCTGCTGGGGACGGGGGCGCCTGGCCCGGGGCTGCCAGAGGCGGCCGCTGCCGGCTCGGCCGCCGCGCAGCGCTGCAAGCTGGGAACGGCTGCTTGTGCGCGTGCGCGCCGCGGGGCACTGTGGGTAGGTGTTCCGCTTGTGGCCTGTACCGGCGCGGGCGAGCAGAGCGGGCCTGGCCTGCAGGAGCTGCCGTGTCGGTTGTTGCCTTTCCTCTGCTTTATGTCGCCCCGCCACCCTATCTCCGGGTCGGCGAGGGCCTGAGGAGGCCTGCGGAGAGGGGCGCTGGTTGGTTTAACACAGGACGTGCCCGGGTCGTGCCCTTTTAGCTTCCGCCTGTGTTCCATCCCAGGCTGTCATATATTCCTGTACATAGTGGTTCTTGGTTGTTCTGCTTTAAACTTATGTCTGTAAGTATTCATACCCTTTCATTTGCTATTTGTCAAATATGTTACAGTTTTTTCCATAGAAATACATGTAATAGAGCTTTATACGCAGTGGGCCTGGAGTTGTGCATTTTCAGTAATGTTTCAGTCTATTTTGAAGGATAGCCAAGGTTGAGAACCACGGCCTCAAAAGTGTGCATATCCAAACTTAAACTGTGTCTTTTTCCTCCTTAAAACCTGACAGGCATCTTGGTCAGAGTTTTGGGATTAGGAACAGTTAATGTGTGTCGTAAAGTCAGTTTAATGGGTTGCAGCTCATCTAGGGTGCCAGCAATAGGGCTTGGAGCGGGGCGTGTGTTCCCTGGGCTGAGGCAGGGTCCTGGCAGTGAGAGCACCAAATCCTAACCACTAGACATGTGATCAGTGACAAAGGCCCTGGGTCTTTGGCTTTGCAGAGAAGAATTGCCCCAAAGAAGGAAAGTAGTGACGCAAATAAAGGATTTAATAGGAGGGAAAAGAATACAGGACTGTGGATAGACACACAGGCAGACTGAGAGTGAGTCGCTGAGTCACATCCTCAAGGTAGTTAAAATTACTTTTATGGGGCATTTCTTCTGGGTTTCCTTTGGCCAGTCATTTTGATTCTCCTGTTTCACAGCCCATATTTGGTATATCTCAGGATCCACCCATGTGTGCACATGCATCTCTTAGCCAAGATGGATTATATTGTAAAGGCCCAACTTCCACCCCTTAATTGTCTTGTTCTCTCTCATCTTGGAGTTTTTCAGTCTATAGGGAATGAATCTCCAATCGCCTGGGCCTATCTACCTCCTGCCTCACAGCCAATGTGCATTTTTTTTTAGTGAATTAAAATAGAATATTTTATGTGCGTGTATGTAGATGATGATATTTATCCCCCAAACTTAGGCATTTTTAGAGTGAAAGGGGGTACGACTAGAATATCAAAGGTGTAACTGAGGCTGTGACCAACCAGGACCTATGGTCATTTATATGTGAGTACTCAGAATATGAAGTGTATCACAGACATTTACATTGTCTGCAGCCATCTTTGTCCAGAAGTCCTTGAGGATGCCCCGTGGCCTGCATGGATCACATCCATTGCCGTGTAAAGCCCTTCAGAATCCAACGTCATCCAGTCTGGCTTAGTATCAAGAGTTTACTCACTGCTCCCTTGACATTCCTTTACTCCTGGTTGCCCTCTGTAAAACTTTTTCTCCTAAAGTACAGCCATCACTCACCTATAGAGTCAGTTCAAGCCACCACTACCTCTCTTTGGTGGCACATAGCATCACAATAGTTCTGCCTGCAAAGAACAAGTGCTCCTCAATTTTTATGAATACTTATATGTTTGTGTGAGAACATAACCCTCAGTGACAGTGATAATTATCTCTGGATGGTGAGTTTACTAATGTTAATTTCCAGAGAATTTGCATCACTTGTATAATCTGGAAAAAAAAAAAGGAAAACAGAATTGTATTTAATAGCAAAGGAAAAATTACATTTCTCCTTTCTTTTGGTAGTCTAGAGCACAGTCTTCCAAACTTCTTACATAGATTTTTAGTTTTTTTATGTTGAAGTAATTTTAGATGTACAGAAGTATTGGAAACCAGATATAACATTGTAAAACTCTTGTGCTTTAAATAGCACCATCAAGAAAGCTAGAAGACAACCCACAGAATGGGAGAAAATACTTGCAAATCATGTATTTGATAAAGATGCAGTATCCAGAATTCTTTCCCAGATGGCTCAAGCAGTAAAGAATCACCTGCAATGCAGGAGATGCAGGTTCAATCCCTGGATCGAGAAGATCCCCTAGAGGGGGAAATGGCAACTTACACCAGCATTCTTGTCTGGGGAATCCCATGAACAGAGGAACCTGGCAGGGTACAGTCAATGGGATCGCAAAGAGTTGGATACAACAGTGTGCGTGCATGCATTCAGTATATATAAACTCTTGCAACTCAATAAAAAATATAAACTGATTAAAAATTAGGGAAACGATTCAAGTAGAAATTTCTTCGAAGATAAATGGTCAATAAAGCACATAAAAAAGTTCAACATCTTTTCCTCTTGTGTGTGTCTTACCTCTGTGTCCAAATTTCCCCTTTTTATAAGGACTCAATCATTGGATTAGGACTCACCACACCTAATGACCTCATCTTTACTTGACATCTGCAAAGATCCAAATTTCAAATAAAAGCACTTTTCATAGGTACTGGCATTATTAGAAAGAACATCACCTTTTGGGGGGACACAATTCAGCATATAAAAAGGGGTGAACCTTGAAAACATGCTAAATGAAAGAAGCTGGTTACAAAAAACTTCCATGTCCATATGATTCCATTTATATAGAGTGTTCAGAATAGGCAACTGTATTGAGACAAAAATATATTGGTAGTTGCCCAGTGCTGAAGAGGACTAGATGAGTTATTGCTAGTGGTTAAATTACACATGGGCTTTCCAGGTGGCACTAGTAGTAAAGAACCTGCCTCCCAATTCAGGAGATGTAAGACACATGCATTCACTCCCTAGGTCAGGAAGATTCCCCTGGAGAAGGAAATGGCATCCCACTCCAGTATCCTTGCCTGGAGAATCCCATGGACAGGAGCCTGTCAGTCTATGGTCCGTAGGGTTGCAAAAAGTCGGACACAACTGAAGCATCTTAGCAGGCAGGCAAAGCTGTTTGAAATATAATAACAGCAATACACAGGGTTCTTGTATACCTTTCATCCAGCTTTTAATGTTTGCATATTACATAACTAATTAATTGAGAAAATTAACACCTATACAATACTATTTTCTAATTTACAGACTTCATTTAAATTTCACTATCCAAACTGTCCTTTTTCTGGTCAAGATCCGGTTTAGGATCCCATGTGTGTGTTTTTCCTGTCATCTTAGCCACCTGCAATCTTAGACAATTCTTTAGTTTTTCTTTGTCTTTGATGCCCTTAACACTTGAAGAGTATGGAAAAACTATTTTGTAAGATGTCCCTCAGTTTGGGTTTTCTGGTTGATGAAATTAAGGTTATGCATTTTTGGCAAGACATATTACAGAAGTGATGTTGTATCTTTCTTGGTGCAGCATATTACAGGTATATGAAATTGAGGTCATTACTGGTTAAGCCTGGTTATCAGATTTCTGTACTATTAAAATTTTTCTTTATAAATTAATAAGTAGCCTGTGGGGAGAAAATTTAAGACTTTGCATTTACCTTATTTTTTAAAATCAGAATTTCATCCTGTAATTTTAGATTCTATTCTTGCTCACAGCATTTATTAATGTGGTATACACCTAATGGTAATTTTCTACCATTGTTAAATGTAATTCTACTGAAAGGAATAGCTGTGTCCTTTCCCCTCCATTTATTTACAGACAGTCCCTGACTTACAGTGATTCAATTTATAATTTTGTGCTTTGCAAAAGCAAAAGTTGAGGACAAACTCTACCTGGAATTTTGAACTTTGATCATTTCCTGAGCTGGCGATAAGTAGTATGATACTCTTGTGATGCTGGGTAGTGACAGTGAAGCTGTCAGCCACACAGTCGGAAAGGTAAACAACCAATACACTTGCAACCATTCTATACATCCATTCTGGGTCTTTAAGTATAGTATTCAATAAAACACATGAGAGATATTCAGTAGTTTATTATAGGTTTTGTGTTAGATGACTTTTTCCAACTTTAGATTACTGTGTTCTGAGCACATTTAAGAAAGGCTTGGCTGAACTGTGATGTCCAGTAAGTTAGGTATATTAAATGTATTTGCAACTTATGATGGGTTTATCAGGACATAACCTCATCATGTGTTGAAGATTTGTGTTTGTTTATTCAATTGTTTTATATAACAGTATGGATTCACGGATTTTTATTCTATCAATTTTAATCCATTAGTGTCATCATTTATTATGCTGCTCAAATTGTCCCAAATTTGGCCATTGAGACCTTGTAGGGAGCCTCTAAGATGGCCTCCAATAATACCTACCTCCTAGTATTCAGGCCCTTTAAAAATCTCTCCTTGGGTGTGGGCTAGATTTAGTGACATTTCTAACGAAAAGAAAAGGTGATGGGATGTCTCTGCTGAGATTAGGTTTAAGTAAAAGCCTGGCTTCCATCTTGAGCAGACACTTGCTCTCGCATTCTCTTATTCCCTTGCTCCTTCAGTTCCTTGCTGTGATAGAAACTGGCTACCATATTGTTAGCTGCCCTGTGGAGAGACCCCTATGCCATGGAACTGAGAGAGGCCTCCTAGCAATAGCTAGTGAAATATAGGTCCTTGGTCCGGCATCCCACAAGAAACTGAATCCTGCCAATACCATGTGCATGGAGTTGATCCTTGGGATGATCCTGGCTGACAGTTTGATTGCAACCCCATGGGAAACTTTGAGCCAAGGCAATCTGTATTAGTTTGCTAGGACTGTCATAAGTACCACAGACTGGGTGGCTTAAACAGCAGGCATTTGTTTTCTTACAGCTCTGGAGGTTAGAAGTACAAGATCAAGGGTCTAGCTGACTTGTGGTTTCCAGTGAGGGCTCTCTTCCTGGTATGTAGATGGCCTCCTTCTCACTATATATTTACATGGTCATTTTTTGGTGTGTGTACATGGGGGCGGGGGTCTGGGTGGGGAAAGCGCTAGTTCTCTGGTGTGCTTTATATAAGGACACTAGTCCTGTTGAATCAAAGCCTAATATTATGACCTCATTAACTTTAATAGTGACATTTCTAACGAAAAGAAAAGGTGATGGGATGTCTCTGCTGAGATTAGGTTTAAGTAAAAGCCTGGCTTCCATCTTGAGCAGACACTTGCTCTCGCATTCTCTTATTCCCTTGCTCCTTCAGTTCCTTGCTGTGATAGAAACTGGCTACCATATTGTTAGCTGCCCTGTGGAGAGACCCCTATGCCATGGAACTGAGAGAGGCCTCCTAGCAATAGCTAGTGAAATATAGGTCCTTGGTCCGGCATCCCACAAGAAACTGAATCCTGCCAATACCATGTGCATGGAGTTGATCCTTGGGATGATCCTGGCTGACAGTTTGATTGCAACCCCATGGGAAACTTTGAGCCAAGGCAATCTGTATTAGTTTGCTAGGACTGTCATAAGTACCACAGACTGGGTGGCTTAAACAGCAGGAATTTGTTTTCTTACAGCTCTGGAGGTTAGAAGTACAAGATCAAGGGTCTAGCTGACTTGTGGTTTCCAGTGAGGGCTCTCTTCCTGGTATGTAGATGGCCTCCTTCTCACTATATATTTACATGGTCATTTTTTGGTGTGTGTACATGGGGGCGGGGGTCTGGGTGGGGAAAGCGCTAGTTCTCTGGTGTGCTTTATATAAGGACACTAGTCCTGTTGAATCAAAGCCTAATATTATGACCTCATTAACTTTAATTATTCCTTAGAAACCCCATCTCCCAGTATAGCCACACTGGGGGCTTCAACATATGGACTTTGGGGGAAAATAAATAAGGACCAAGAAAGAAGCAACTTAGCAAGACAGAAAACTTACAATAACTGCTTTACTGCAGCCAAACATAGTGGAAGAAAGTGGGCCCTTATCCCCCTCAGCATAGGTTAAGTGGGGAACCTAGATGTCCATGATAGTCTTGCTGATATGATTTCAGAAAAGGCTAAGAGGAGCTGGGATTGTCATGATCACCCAGTGGTAAGGAGACCTTTCCTCTATAGTGTTTTTGAAAGTAATGTAGGGAACAATTGCAAGGCATTCTCCCCCACCCCCTAACTGGCACTTGGTATTAGGGTTCTCCTGAGAAAATAGAGGGAGGTGGAAAGAAGAGATTGACCAGAAACACTAAGGGCAGGAGAAGATTGGTATCTTAAACTCAAGCATTCAGACGAACTTTTGTTCTGTTCAGGCTCTTGATAGATTGGATGATATCCACCCACTTTGGGGAGGATCGTTAGCTTTATTCAGCCCACCAATTCAAGTGCTAGTAATTGCTTCTGGAAACACAGACATCCAAAAATAGTCTTAAGCTATCTAGGCATTCTGTAGCCTATTCAAATTGAAACATAAAGTTAATTATCATACTCTCCCAGCTAGGGTGGTGGACTTTCACCCCGACTTGGCAGAAATGGGGTGAGGTCTGCCTTTCTGTGCTGATGTTAGAGGCACCTGTAAAACAGATTTAAGTAGGATCCCAGTCACATAATGTAGTAATCAAAAATGTCCAAAAAAAACCACACAAAAATGTCCAGGGTACAAATGAAAACCACTAATACCAAAAATCAGGACTATCTTAACTTGAGTAAGACAAGACAATTGTCTTGATACAGAGATGGGAATTATCTGACAAAGGATTAAAGCAGGCATGATAAAAATACTTTAATGAAAATTTATGAAAATGCTTGAAACAAAACTGTAAAGTCTCAGCAAAGAAGTACAAAATATAAAAAATCAAATGGAAATTTTAAAACTGAACAATACAATAAAGGAAATAGTAAGCTCTAGATGAACTCAACGGCAGAGTGAAAACAATACTGAAAGGATCAGTGAAAGTAAAGATAAAGCAATAGAAATTAACCAGCAGAGAATAATAGGTTGGAAAAAAAGTAGAGCCCCATGGATCTGTGGTAGTATAACAAATGATCTAATATTTATTTCATCTGTGTCCTAGAGGGCGAGAAGAAAGAGGGTGGGGTTGAAAAGTTATTTTAATAAATAATGGTCAAAACAAAACAAAACAAATTTGGTGAAAGACATAAACCTACAAATTCAAGAAGCTGAGCTAACCCCAAATAGGATACACCCCCCAAAATATCTTGCCAAGATACATCATAATTAAACTTCTGAAAACTAATGGTGAAAAATCTTGAAAGTGAAAAGAAAAAAATAATACTTTACCTATAACTGAAAAGCAGTTTGAATCATAGCAAGTTTCCTATCAGAAACCAAAGAGGCCAGAAAGAAGGGGCATCACATTTCCAAGTGCTGAAAACAAAGAACTGTAATTTAGAATTTGATATGAGTGAAAATACTCTTCAGGAATAAACAGGTTAGATATCAAGACATTCTCAGGCAAAGGAAAACTAGAAGGATTTGTCTCTAGTAGATCTGCCTTATTTAAAAGAAAGTAAAAGACCTGAAGAAGGTTCNGGATTTTGTTAGCTTTTGTCTTTGGGTTATTTTTCTGAGAAACCTCACATCTTTTGATAATGTTCTTTAAAGTTTTCATTACATTTTCACCTTCAAACAAATGAAAAGCCTTCTGTTAGGTACTCTCTACACCTAAATGAAAACTCTGCTGTAAACCCTTAAGAATTTTCCATTGAGCATTTTCAGGAATTATTAATTGTCCATCCTTTAACTGTAAAAACCCTTTATCAGTAATCTTTCTCCTCTTTTCTCATATCTTTCTAATTCTTCCTCAGTATATTGTGGTTTTTCCTGTTCCACAGGACTTGTCCAGATCAAAGGTGTCTTCAGTGAAGGGGTTTCGGAAAGTGCCACTTTTCTGGCTTGACAGTCAGCCAGCTGATTACCTTCAGCTACTTTACTCTCGTCCATGCTGTGCCCTTTGCAGTGCATAATAGCTAATTCTTTAGGACAATATATAGCAGTTAAAAGCCTCTCAATCTCTCTGAAATGCTTAATAGGTTCTCCTGTTGCCATTTTAAACTGTCTTTCCAGTTTCCATATTGCAGCATGAGCATGTAAAGTCAAATAAGCATACTTAGAGTCAGTGTAGATATTCACTCACTATCCTTTACTTAACTCTAGAGCTCAGGTCAGAGCCACAAGCTCCTCTAACTGAGCACTCATTCCCTGGGGCAGAGACTTTGCCTCTAAAACCTGTTCAGCCACCACCACGGTGTAACCTGCTTTACACTTCCCATCCCGAACAAAAGAACTGCCATCTGTAAATATTTCCATATCTGGATTGTCCAATGGGGTATCCATCAAATCTTTCTGAGCTGCATAGTTTAAAGTTAGAAATTGGGAACAATTGTGATCAAGTGTTTCATTTTCCTTTTTAGGAAGGAAAGTGGCAGTATTTAAATTTCCGCTAACTTTAAGCTTAGTTTTTGGTCTTTGGAACAACAAGGACTGATATTTAAGAAGCTTACTGTCTGTCATCCAAGTATTAACCTTAGAGTTTAACAGTCCACTCGCCTCATGAGAAGTCAGTACAGTAAGATTTCACCCATTAATTATTTTGAGGGATTCAGGTGTTAATAAAGCAGTTGCCTTAATTACTCTTAGTGTGGCCACCCATGCGACACTACATCTGATTCTCTGCTCAGACACGCTATAGGTTGCTGGTGAAGCCCTGGGTTTGTGTCAAAACTCCCAAGGCCATACCTTTTCTTTCAGTGACAAATTAAATTCTGACCCTGTGGGCAAGCTCCAAGTGGAAGCTTGCAAGATAGCAGTCTGAAGAGCCTTAAAAGCCTTTTGAGTATCTGGAGACCAAACCAGTTTGTCATTTGGGCTTGTTGAGTTTCAATTAGAAATTTATATAAAGGCTGGGCAGGTTCCCCATAACCCGGAATCCAAATGCAGCAGTAGTCTGTGATCCCTAAAAGTCCTCTCAGTTGTCTTAAAAGTCATAGGTAGGGGATGATTTCAGCAATACGTGAATAGACCCTGCTCCTTTAAATTCTCAGTGATGGGTTTTAACCCTTCCTTAACCTCAGGTGTCAGTAGATAGTGCTTTTTATGTGGAAATAAATGTGGGCCTTTGAGCTTGACCACTATAGGAATAGCATTTTGTGCTTGACTCACAGATTTTCCACCAGCCCACACTCTAGGATTTACATTTTGTTCAATTAGAGAGAAAGGGAGGGCTCCATATCCATGAAAACAGAGGCACAGACCTTGCTCAGTATATCCCTCCCCAAAAGGGGTGAGGGAGACTGCCATGATCAGCAATTCGTGTGACAATAGCACAGAGTTCCAGTTGCAGCTTAGAGGACGACTGAAATAATAACATTTGGCTTGTCCAGACAGTCCCATTACAGAAGCAGATTGGGGTGGGCCAGGGACTTCAGTAAGCACAGAGTAAGTTGCCCCAGTGTCTAAAAAGAAATCGATGGATTGCCCCCCCCCCCATTTATTAATACCTGGGGTTCCTCAGAGGTAATTAGTATGGGAGCTTGTGTGGGGACCCCTGGGCACCTTCAGTCCTGATGGTCTTGAGAGTCAGACCCCTGAGACCTACGCCTCTGCGGGCAGTCTCTCCTCCAGTGTGGTCCCTTCCAGAGAGCAAATGGAGCCGGGGGTGGCTTGGCTGCCTGAGGGCAATCCCGCTTGAGGTGCCCCTCCTTTCCACAGTAATAGCAAGCCCATCCTTTTTCACCTGGGTCCCTCTGGGCAGTTTTCTCAGGCTGTTTAAGAACGGTTCTAACAGTCATTACAAGGGCTTCTGCCTGTTTCTTTGTCTTTTTCTGCCTATCTTTCTTTTCCTCATATTCCCTGCTGTAATAGACTGTCTGAGTCAGTTGCAGCAGATTATGTAAAGACTGATTTGGTCCATACACCTGTTGTAATATCTCATGACTATTCTGAGTCTTCAGCAGAATCAACTTGAAGACAGAGTCTAGGGTAAATACACAGTTCATTAAAATAGCTTAAGACAAAAAATTCCACAGGAAAAATGCATTGGTCAGCTCAAGGTTTGAGAAAAGTTAAGTTCAGGTGGAACCAGGTGTCTTCATGGCAACACAGAATTTTAAAAGAAACCTCTTTTTAAGTTTGTATAGAGAAGGGGAATAAGATCTAGCACTTACACTTTGTCTCCTCCTGCTGCTTAAGAGAGAGGTAAGAAATGTCTGTGTCCTCCATTTGGAGACATCTGGGCTTCCTGCCTTTTACCCTCTCATATGGACAGGTTGAAAGGAAAAAGATGGCGAAAGATATGCAATACAAACATTAATCAGAAAAATGCATTAGCAGATATATTAATGTCAGATAAAGTAGACTCTAGAGCAGAGAAAATTCCTAGGGTCAGAGAGGGGCATCTCATAGGAATAAAAAGGCCGGGCTGTCAAGAAGACAGGACAATCATAAATTTGTATGTACCAAACAACATAGCTGCAAAACACTTAAAGCAAAATGGATAGAGCTGAGATGAGAAATAGACAAGTCCATGATTATAGTTGGAGACCTTAGTGCCTCTCTTTCGATAATTTAGCCACATGGAAATCCGAAAGAATACATAATAACTGAACAGCACCATAATCAACAGGATGCGGCACGCATGTGTGCACACACACATTTTCAGTTTCTCCTGTGGATAGTTTACCAAGACAGATCACTTACCATCATAGGACCATAAAACAGACTGCAAGATATTTAAAATACTTGAAATCATACTGTGTGTGTTCCCACCACAAAGGAACCAAACTAAAAGGCAATACCAGAAAGAAAATACGAAAATCTCTGAATAGTTGGAAACTAAACAACAAATTGCTGAATAATCTTTGCATCAAAGAGGAAATTTCAAGAGAAACTAAAAACAACACATTGAACTAAATGAAAATGAAAGTAAAACATACCCAGTTGAGTGGACCACAACTAAAGTAGTGTTGAGTGAAAAATTTATAGCACCAAATTCTTACATTAGAAAAAAGGGAAAGCTGGGACTTCTCTTATGCTCCAATGGTTAAGAATTTGCCTTCCAATGCAGGGTGTGAAGGTTTGATTACTGGTCAGGAACTAAGATCCCATATGCTACAGGGCGACTAAACCTGCATGCCACAATTGGAGAAAGCCTGTGGCTGCAACAGAGACCCAATGCAGCCAAAAATAAATTTAAAAAAATTTTAAGGGAAAGTCTGGAGAAAATTATGTAAGCTCTCACCTTAGGATCATATAAAAAGAAGAGCAGGGTAAACCCAGAAGTGCAGAAGTAGGAAAATAATGAAATTCAAAATAGAAAAGCAATAAAGTAAACAAAAGATGGTTCTTTGAAAAGACCAATAATATTGCCAATAAACACAAATTAGCAGATATCAGAAATGAAATGGTATATTACTATAGATCTTGTAGATGTTAAAAGAATAATAAGGAAATATAAACAATTTTACAAATTTGACAAAAGCAAATAGACTAGTTCTTAAAAAAACACCTAATATGAAATATGTAATTTTGCAGTTCTATAAACATATTGAATTTTTAATCTAAAAATGCCCAAGAAGGGACTTTCCTGGTGGTCTAGTGTTAAGACTCTGAGCTTCCAATGCAGGGGCATGGATACAATCCCTGGTCAGGGTACCAAGATCTTAAACATGTTGCATGGCATGGCCAAATTATTCAAACATTTTAAAAATAAAAACTTCCAGGAAAGAATCAGATGTTTCAGTGGAGAATTATACCAAACATCTAAAGAAAAAGCAATTCTACTCATTATCAACCAGAAAACAGAAAAGGAGAAATTCCCCAACTCATGTTACAAAGACCACCATTCAAGAAAGGAAAACAGATTAACAGCTCTCATGAAAACAGGTGTAAAAATCCTCAAAGAAACATTAATAAGTGGAACTCAGCAATATATAAAAGAGCTGTGGGATTCTGGGGAGATGACAGAGTATGAAGTGTCAGGAACCTGTCTTTCCTAGACAGTTACACTGGCAGAATCTGCTTGATATAGCTATATTGTAACTCTGGAGTCTATTCAGACTTGCAGCTTCAAGAAGGTTTGAATGGGAAATTGCAGTTAATTTTGGTCAATTTCAGCAATGGCTACCCATCGTCCACTTATATCTCTGAGACAGACAGTTGTTCATTTTTACCAGGAGCAGTTTATATGCAGCTTGCTGACCCAGGGTGGGCAATAAGGACTCTGTGCTCCGAATATCAGGGATCTGTTTTCTCATTGCTTATTGCTGCTTCTGATAGTGGAAGTACAGACAAGGAGGTAGGCAGTCATTGCTGCACCACCACTCCCATTGTTGCAAGCCTCTTGCTCTATAGCTTAAGCAACTTCCAGGAGATTTAAAGAGCTGGCAATTTTCTCTCCATTTTTATTTATCTCTTTTCTTCATTTTAGGAGTCAGACATTAAAGGACTAAGACATTTAAAAGCAACTACATATGCATGTTACCATACATGCCTAAGGAAATAACACAGGCTCAGAAAGATCTGATAAGACCTTAAGTTTGTACCCCAGGCAGATCCCTAGGAAAGAGATCATAAAACAATAAAAATATCAATAAAATAAACAAAAGCAAAAGGAAATCCCTTGAGAACTGGAACAATCTGATTTCCAGACTTATTCCATTGCTGGACTCAATTATAAAATTTTTAGAAAAAAATATAAGATGTGCAAAGAAACAGGAGAAAAAAATCTCTATTCCAAGGGAAAAAATCAACAGAAACTGGTGAGAAAGGGCAGATAGCAGACACAATAGACAAAAAATTGGAAAAAAGTGTCTTTAAGATGTTCAGATAACTAAAGGAAGACATGGAGAAGGTCAATGATAATGTATGAAGAAAATGGAAATATGAATAAAGAGAAAATATAAGAACATACCAAAAAGAAATTCTGAAACTGAAAAGTACAATAGCTTGAATAGAAAACTCATTAGATGGCAATCAACACAGATTTGAGTAGAAGAATCAGTGAATTAGAAGATAAAACAATTGAAATTGTCAAGTCTGGGGAACAGAATAAAAAGTGAAGGAAGGTGTAAAAAGCTCAAGTTCCAATCTGTGGAACGTCTTCCAGAGGATCAAACATGCATTATTGGAGTTCCAGAAGAAGAGAGAAACAGGAGCAAAGGGAAAGAAATAATGCCTAAAACTTCCCAAATTTGAAGAAACACCTGAACATAAACACTCAAGAACCTTAATGAATGCCTACTCAGAATAATTCAAAGAAAGTCATGTGGAGACACAAAAACTGTGAAAGTAAAAGAAAATCTTGAAAACAGCAAGAGAGAAGTGACTTGTCACATAAAAATGATCTTGAATAGGTTATAAGCAGACTACTCCCTTGGTACTTTGGAAACCAGAGGTCAGTGTTGATATATTCAGCCCTGGTATATAGTCAACCTGGTATATATTCAGTATATACCAGGGTTGGTATATCAAAGTGTGTGCTGAAGAAAAACTCTAAAAAGTGTCAATCAACAATCCTATATCTGTCAAAAGCTGTCCTTCAGAAGGGAGGGGAAAATTAAACCAAAACCTAGCACAAGGAATAAATAATAAAGATTAGAACAGAGATGAATGAAATATAAATTAGAAAGATTATAGAGAAAATGAAAGAAAACAAAGGATTTTTTAAAGAACATGTAAAATAAATTTTTACCTAGATAGATTGAAGAAGAAAAAAAAAGAGGCTTCAGGATAGATGATGAAGGCAGAAGCACCACAAATCTGTCTACCCAACTCGACAACAACTGGATCAGCTAAATTATCTTATGAAACTATTGTGGAGCTCTGGAGTCTGTTGAACACAAGTAACTTTTATGGGAACACTTGGATGGTAAATTTTATGTCAATCATCAACATTTAGCACAGTGGCAGCTACCAATTTCCAACATACAGTTACATGGAAGGCAGCTGTATCTGTGTTCCTGAAGCGGCTTGCACCCAACTTGTGACAGGGTGGGCAACAAGTACCCTTTCTTTCAAGTATCAGGGACCTCTGATATGATTGGTGATGGCTACTTCTGATCAGAGAGGTGCAGATAAGTAGAGCTAGAGGGGAGCCACTGTGGTTGCACCTCTTCCCACTATTGCAAGCTCCTACCCCTCCTGGCTCAGGTGTCTTCCAAGATACTTAAAGAGCCAGAACTCTTCCTCACAGCTTCATTTTCAGATTTTTCTCTTTTGAGAGACAGGAATTCAAGACCAGACTATTAAAAAAACTGCATATATGGATAAAATTAGAAGGTGATTACAAATGCCTAAGAAAATTCTGAGAAAATGCATAAGCCCTTGACTTTGCACCTTAGGCTGATTCTCAGGACAGAGACAGTCAACAGCAGTCAAAAACAACAACAACAAACTCTTGGGGAAGGGGGAAGAATCTGATTTCCAGAGCTACCACATTATTACATTCAAATGCCCAGTATTCAACAAAAACATCACAAGACCTACGAAGAAACAGGAAAGTGTGACCCATTCAGAGGAAAAAGTGTATATCAGTGAAATCTGACCCTGAATAGAGTTTATGGCAGAAGAGAGGCAAGATGGCATTGGTAGGAGAAGGGCTTGAGATCACCCTTTTAATGGAAACACCCAAATCACAAATAACTGTTGAAAAACCGTGGACAAAAAATGCTGGAACCTACCGAAAAAGATAACCCACATCCAAAGGCAAAGAAGAAGCCACAAGGAGATGATAAGAGGGGCACAATCACGATAAAATCAAATCCCAAACACACTGGTGGGCAACCCACAAACTGGAAAGTAGTTATAGCACAGAAGTTTTCCCACAGGAGTGAAACTTCTGAGCTCTACATTGGGCTTCTCAGCCTTGGAGTCTGGGAACGAGAGGAATAGCCCTCAGAGAGATTAGCTTTGAAGGCCATTTGGATTTGGCCATAGGACTTCCACAGAACTGGGGGAAACAGAAACTCCACTCTTGGAGGGTGTTGTGTGCACCAGGACCTAGGGAATATAGCAGTGACTGATAAGAGACTGGGCCAGACTTAGCTGCAAGTGTTGTAGGGTCCCCTGCAGAGGCAGGGGGCCTCTGTGATGTACTGTGGGAAAAGGGAGACTGGTAGAAGTGACTCTGTCAAGTGCTGATTGGCATGGGCCCTCTAGGAGGCTGCCACTTTTTCCCTAAGACCTGGCCCCACCCAACAGCCTGAAGCCTCCAGAACTGAGGTGCCTAAGGTCAAAGAACCAACAGAGTGGGGACACAACCCCACCCATCAGCAGAGAAGCTGCTTAAGTCTTCCAGGATAAATAGCTGCCCAATAATGAACACACACCCAGACATGATCCTGCTTACCAGAGGGATAAGACTGAATGTCACCCACCAGTGGGCAAGTACCAGTCTCTCCCACCAGGAAGCCTCAGCTATGGGTTGCATACAACAGAAGCAAGAAGAACTAAAACCCTGCAGCTGCAATGTGAAACTGCAATCACAGAAAGTTAGACAAAATGACACAGCAGAGGAATATGCCCTGATAAAGGAAACTGATAAACCAAGAACAGAACAACTAAGAACAGACTAAGAGCAGTGGAGATAGGCAATCTATCCAGAAGAATAACTGAGATGGATCTAGCCAAAAAAGAATTCAGAGTAATGATATTAAAGATTACCCAAGATCTCAGAAAAATATTGGAGGCACAGACTGAGAAGACACAAGAAATATTTAACAAAGACCTAGAAGAACTAAAGACCAAACAAACAAATGTGAACAATAAAATAAGTGAAAACTACACTGGAAGGAAACAGTAGTAGAGTAATTGAGACAGAAGAGTGGATAAGTGACTTGGAAGGCAACTGAATCACTGCTACAGAACAGAATGGAAAAAAAATGAGAACAGTCTAAGACACCTCTGGGAAAACATTACATGCACAAACAATCACATTATAGGGGTCCCAGAAAAAGAAGAGAGAGAAAGGGCCTGAGAAAATATTTGAAGAGATAATAGCTGAAATATTCCCTAACGTGGGAAAGTAAACAGTCACCCAAGTCCAGGAAGTGCAGAGTCCCAGCCAGGATAATCCAAAGGAGGAACACACTGAGACATATAGTAATCAAACTGACAAAAATTAAAAACAAAAAACTTTTTGTTTTAATTTTAAAATTTTCATTTAATTTTAAAAAATTAAAAAAGAAAAATATGAAAAGCAACAAGGGGAAAACAACAAACAATACATAAGGGAAACCCATAAATTTATCAGCTGATTTCTCAGCAGAAACATTGCAGGCCAGAAGGGAATGGCACAATACATTTAAACTGATGAAAGGGAAGAAACTGCAACCAAGAATACTCTACCCAGCAAGGTCATCATTCAGATTTGACAGAGAAAGCAAAACCTTAACACAAAAATGAAAGCTAGGAGAATTCTGCACTGCCAGACCAGCTTTGCAGCAAATGCTGAAGGAGCTTGCATTGAAGCAGCTAGAATATATAAAATATAAAATGTCATAATAAAATAAAAACATAGAAGGGTTAAGTAAACAACATAAAGAATACTACGAACTATTGCTTTAATAGATGTAAAATGTCAAGACAAGATTACCACTGATCAAACCACATTTTGAATATACAGTTTTGGATGCCAAAGCATAAGTGAGATATTTAAAAATCTTGTGAGCAGAGGAAAGATTTCTAGAAGATTAAAGAGTAGAAACTATGTCATGGTGGTAACAATGGGAGTGGAAGCAATCATAATTGTGTAACCAGAAGAGAAGAGCAAAAACTGCTAAAACAATCATGTGGAAGAATTACAATTTTTCTTGTGACATAGGAAGGATAAAACAGAGTAGGTTTCTTTGTTTTTCTTTTTGAGGAAACTGCAGCTAAGGATGCTGAGTCAATTGTACTATTCAGTTTATGATAACTTCTTCTTATTGGTCTTTACAGTGATTTATTCTCTTCATCATCATAACATGACCCATTCTAATTCTATTCTATAGGCGATTATGTTTAATGAAAATAGTTTTTCTCTTTTCAAAAAATATATATTAAGTAGTGTTATATATATATAATTCTGTTATTAAACATTTTTCAAGCTTTTTGTTTCTAATAATTATTTGCTATGCTGTGTGTATATCTAAAGTTTTGTTCTCAGCTGCTGTGTAATGCCCCATGGAGGCTATCCACCGTGCTTTACCTCTCTGGACCCTGAATGGTAGATTCAAAGATTGTCTTAGGTCTCAATTCCCCACAGCACCATCATAGTTAAAGCCATGAAAACCATTTTTTTGTACATGTCCTTTTACTAAATGCGTGAGAATTGAGTTGAGTTATAAACCCAATAATAGAATTGCAGTGTCAAAGGCTGTAAAAGAAAATGAAGTAGAGATAAGAGAAAATGACAGAAAAGATCAATGAAGCTAAAAGCTTGTTCTTTGAAAAGATAAACAAAATTGATAAACCTTCAACCAGACTCATCAAGGAAAAGAGGGAGAGGGCTCAAATCAATAAATTAGAAAGAAAAAGAGGGCATTACAATGGACAGCACAGAAATTAATAGGAAATTCATAGGATCACAAGAGACTGGCACAAACTCCTATATACAAATAAAATGAACAACATGGAAGAAATGGATAAAGTCTTAGGAATGTTCAATCTCCCTAGACTGAAGTAGGAAAAAATAGAAAATATGAACAGACCAATCACAAACTGAAATTGAAACTGATTTAAAAACTTCCAAAAACAGTCTAGGAAGAGCTGACTTCACAGGTATGTTATATCATACACTTAGAGAAGAGCTCTAAAACTATTCCAAAACATCTCAGAGAAAGTAACACAGCCAAACTTATTCTATGAGGCCATCATCACCCTGATACCAAAACCAGACCAAGATAACACAAAAAAGAGAAATACAGGACAGTATCATGAATGACCATACAGACAAAAATCCTCAACAAAATTCTAAGAGAGTCAACAATACATTAAAAGGATCATACACCATGATCAAGTGGGATTTACTCTAGAGGTGCAAGATTTTTCAGTATTCCCAAATCAGTCACTGTGGTCACCACATCAGCAAGTTGAAGAATAAAAATCATAAGATCATATCAATAGACGGAGAAAAAACTTTTGACAAAATTCAATATATATTTATAATAAAAATTCTCCAGACAGTAGGCATAGAGGGAATATACTCAACATAATAAAGGGCATATATGACAAACCTATAGCTAACATCATATGCAATGGTGAAAGGCTTAAAGCATTTTCTCTAAGATCAGGAATGACAAGGATGTTCATTTTAACCACTCTTATTCAACATATAGTTTTGGAAGCTCAGCCATGGCAATCAGAGGAGAAAAATAAATAAAGGGACTCCAAATTAGAAAAGAAGAATAAAACTGTCATTGTTTGCAGATAACATGGTACTATACATACAAAATTCTAAAGATGCTACCAGAAAACTATTAGAGCATCAGTGAATTCAGTAAGGTGGTAGGATTTAAAATTAATACAGAACTCTGTTGCATTTCTACAGACCAACAACAAAAGATCAGAAAGAGAAATTAAGGAAACAATTCCATTTACCATATTAAAAATAACAAAATACCTAGGAATAAAACTACTTAAGGAAGGAAAAGACCTGTACTCCAAAAACCATAAGATGCTGATGAAAGAAATTGAAGATGACACAAGCTAAAGATATATCTTATTCTTGTTTCGGGATATTTTCAAAATGACTATATTACACAAGATAATCTATAAATCCAACACAATTCATATCTTTTTTCCATACTCTCTGCAGCTTTGCTTGTAGACTTTTGAACAATGGCCATTCAAATTTGTGTGAAGTGATATCTCATTGTAGTTTTGATTTGCATTTCTCTAATAACTAGTATTTTGAGCATTTTTTCCTGTGCCTCATGGCCATCTGTATATCTTCTTTGGAGAAATGTTATTTAGATATCCTGCCACCTTTGAAATCAGGGTTTTTTTTAACATGGAATATAAATTGGTGCAGTCATCATGGAGAACAGTATGGAGGTTCCTTAAGAAACTAAAAACAGAGCTACCATATGATCCAGTAATCCTACTCCTCAGCATATATCCAGAGAAAAACATGGTTCAAAAGGATATTTTCACCCCAGTGTTCTTTGTAGCACTGTTTGCAATATCCAGGATGTTGAAGAAACCTAAATGTCCATTGACAGGTGAATGGGGTGGGGGGGAATCTAGTACAATGAAATATTACTCAGACACAAAAAAGAACAAAATTGGATCATTTGTAGAGATGTGGATGAACCTAGAGTCTATAATACAGAGTGAAATAAGTCAGAAAGAGAGAAGCAAACATCATATATTAATGCATGCATGTGGAATCTAGAAAAATGGTGCAGATTAACCTATTTGCAGGGCAAGAATAGAGATACAGACAGTGAGCAGATTATGGACATGAGGGAGAGGAGTGGGGTGAGATAAACTGGGAGGTTGGGATTGATCTATGGGCAATGCCATGTGTAAAACATGCAGTAGGAGCCTGCTGTATAGCACAAGGAGCTCAGCTTGGTGCTCGGTGGTGACCTGTAGGGATGGGACAGGGAGTAGGAGGGAGGTCCAAGGAGGAGGGCGAGTGCGTATACATACAGCTGACTTACCTTGTTGTGCAGCAGAAATGAGGACGACGTTTTACATCAACTATACCCCAATTTAAAAAAAAACAAAAATGACGATAAACAACGATAAACTACATAACACAGGGACCTCTGCTCAGCACTCTGGAATAACCTAAATGGGAAAAGAATTTGAAAAAGAATAGGTACATGTATATGTATAACTGAATCATTTTGCTGTAAACTTGAAATGAACACAACATTGTAAATTGACTCTGCTCCATTATAAAATAAAATTTTAAAAAGTTATGGCAGATGTACTAGACAAAGGCTTTTAAACAACGGTTCTAAAGATGCTAAAAGAAGTAAAGGAATATGGGAGAAACTCAAGAAAACTGTGAGTAAACAAAAGAAAAACATCAATGAAGAGAAAACCTAGAAAGAAACCAAAATAAAATTCTGGGATGGAAGAGGATAATAACTAAAATGAAAAATCCATCAGCAGCATTCAAAGAAGACTTGGCAGGCAGAAGAATAAATCAGTAAACTTGAATATAGGACTCTGTAAATGATCATGGCTGAGGAACAGAAAGAGTAAAGACAAAATACTACAGAAGTTATCTAGTCTGAGAAACAGAAAGAGAAATGACTGAGGAAAAGCACACAGAGCATAAGAGACCAATTGAACACCATCAAAAAGACCAAAATATGCATTGTGGGAGTCCCCTAAGTAGAAATGAGAAAGAGGCAGAGAGATAGATTGAAGAGATAATATTAGAAGCTTCTAGAATTTAAAGAAATGAATACATGTAAACATCAAGAAGCTCAGTAAACTCCAAAATGAAATCAGAGACCTACACCAAGACACATTATAGTTAAATTTACAAAAGAAAAAGAAGAAATCCTGAAATTAGCAAGTGAGAAGGAAATCATTACACACAAGTGACTCACAAAGAGATTATTTGCTGGTTTCTCACTAGGAACTTTGGAAGTCAGAAGACAGTGGGAAGATGTATTCAAGATGCTTTAAAAAAAACTGTCAACCAAGATTCATATATACAGCAAAACTGTCATTCCCAGATCAACAAAAGCCAAGGGAGTCTGTGACCACTACACTGTCTCTGGAAGAAGTGCTCAAGGGAATGCTGCAAATAGAAAGGATATTAGACAGTAATCTTAACCAGTGGGAGCCCTGGGCTTGTTTTCCTGCAACTAGATGGTCCCATCTGGGGGTGATAGAAGACAGTGACACCCGAAGTGTGTTGCTTATGTCCATTCTACTCTGTAATCTTGTTCCGATTACTGTCACTGCAGAAAACCTTCTTTCACAAAGATAGGATGTTGGAAATGGAAGCAGCCTTTTCAGTGCTTTTGTGGCAATCTCAGCATATTCCACCTTGACTTCAATCCAGAATGGAGATTTGACATTGTCTCAAACATACTTTTAAGGCCACCGTCATTTGCAATCTCAAGCAATTGCCTCTTCTAGCATTTACAAGGTCGATTTACCTGGCTTATTCACAAATGGGTCACTGATTCATTCCTTCCCAGTTTGGGGATCTTTTGTAATTGGGAACTAATTCTCAAATTCTTTTGAAAATTGAGACTGATGATCATGCATAAGCTGGGAGAAAGAAGGCCCTGGCTCAGTCTCTTTCAAAATCTCTGCTAATGTTGAAACTTGTTAAAAATTTCAATGTTCACTCAGTACCCCCCATAATTTAAAACTGGCTTTGAATGCAGATGCTTTATCTGCTGGCTAGAACACAGTTGTCCTTCTCCCCTGAAGTGACAGATTGAGTTTGTTGAGCAAGTTGAATATGTCACGCAAGTAAGCATGTTTGTGACCTATTTTGTTCCACTGAAATGTGCTTCCAGTGGTGACTGTTTTTCTAAAAAAAAAAATCTGGTGTGGCTCTCATAACTTAAAAACTCTGGCTGGTGGTCTACCTTTAGAAAGCCATCTCACTTCTGTTTATAAGAGAGGATGTGTGTGCTCTGTGTCCATCTCCTCACAGAGCTGTGTGAACAGATGTGAGTTAAGGGCATGTGTTTTGATGTTGTTACTATTTTAATCATATTCTGCAAAATGTTTGGGTGGCATTTTTGGCTAGCAAGCATTTCTCTGTGAATGACACAATGCATAGGCTCACATTCAGAAGTGACCTCTTTGAACTGAGTAGTGAAACCAGAAAGCTGTCCAGTAATGGCGGCTGCTCCATCCATGCATATACCGACACAAAACGACCAGTTCAGCTTTCCTGATATGTAGTCACTAAAAGACTTGAATAGTTCTGAACTGTGGTGCTAGCTGACAACAGAAGTGTACATAACATATCTCTTGCACATCCTCCTGAAATCTCTCTCTCTCTCTCTCTCTCTCTCACACACACACACACACAAAGCATTTTGCCTCATTGTCAATATCAGTAGAGTCATCAACCTGGATTACTTACCATGGTGACTCATTAATCCTTGCTAACAATTGTACCTCAATACCCTCTGCTATTTCATTAATTCATCTAGTCATGGTGATAGCTTTTGAACTTCAGCCTCTCCTAAAAGCTCACAACAAATATTCTTAGGAGCAAGTAGAATCAACTCTTTGCCAATAGTAAAGGGCTTCTTAGCTTTAGAAATGCAGTTAGCTACTAAGAATGATGCTCTCAGTGTAGACACATTTGTCGAAGTGGTGGCCTTCAATGACTGCTTCTGTTCTTTACATTCACATTACTTTCTTTTGAAAAATTCCAAAGGCATGTCTTTTGATACAGGGTGCTTGGTCTCTATGTGGCAAAGCAGGTTTAATGGCTTCATTGGACAGATGGTTGCCACAGATTATACAAAGTGGGCTTAGAGAATGTGAATCACCTGTTGAAATAAACCTGTAATTTAAGTAGAACTCTCTTATTTTCTTTTAAATGCAGCTTTCTTTTTGTTGGAAGTCTTAGAATCTTCTGTTTTCTTCTTATTGGATCTTCCTCCCTTTTCAAAGAATCTCCCCAGTGACATTTGTGTTTTACTCATTTTGGTTAGTGTTAGCTTGTGGGCCCACCAAACTGTGACTGAGACACATATGCAGCATAGAAAAGAGGCATGGACAGAAATGGTAGACAAAATAATGGGCAGGCCATGTGCAGACTAAAATAAGTGTTGGATTCTGACTTAAAGCCTGCCACAGATGCAGCTATACAATTGAAGTATATCAATTCACTTGCCATTATAAAGCCTGCCACCAGATGTAGCATAATTTTCACTTGCCACTCACTGACAGGTTTTGATGTATCTGCAAGCTATTGATTTATTATGGACTCTGCAGTCAAACCTCTCTGGTAATAATAATCTGTATTTGCAGCCACTCCTCAGCACTAGCTTCACTGCCTTGGCTCCACCTCGGATCATCAGGCACTGGATTATCATAAGGAGTATGTTTTCCCAACAGCCAGTCCCTCCCATCAGAAGGCAGACAGAAGAACTACAATCCCATAGCCTCCAGAACAAAAACAATAATCACAGAAAGCTAGCCAAAATGAGCACATGAATTACAGCCTTGTGTAACTCAGTGAAGCTATAAGCCATCCGATGCAGGGCCACCCAAGATGGACGGGGCACGGTGGAGAGTTCTGACAAAAGGTGGTCCACTGGAGAAAGAAAGTGAAAGTTACTCAGTCGTGTCCAACTCTTTGTGACCCCATGGACTAGCCTGCCAGGCTCTTCTGCCCATGGAACTTTCCAGGCAAGAATACTGGAGTGGGTTGCCATTTTCTTCTTGAGGAGATCTTCCCAACCCAGGGATGGAACCCAAGTCTCCTGCATCGCCTGCAGACTCTTTACTGTCGGAGCCACCAGAGAAGACCAAGAATACTGGAGTGGGTGGCCTCTCTCTCCAGGGGATCTTCCCAACCCAAAAATCAAACCGAGATCTCCTGTATCCCAGGTGAATTCTTTACCAGCTGAGAAAGGAATGAGAAATAGCTTCAGTATTCTTGCCTTGAGAACCTGATGAACAGTATGAAAATGCAAGAAGACATGACACCAGAAGATGAGACCCACAGATTGGTAGGTGCCCAATATGATACTGGAGGAGAGCAGAGACGTAACTCTGGAAAGAATGAAGAGGCTGTGCCAAAATGGAAACTATGCTCAGTGGTGGATATGTGTGGTGCTGAAAGTAAAGGCCAGTGCTGTAAAGAACAATACTGCATAGGGACGTGGAATGCTAGGTCCATGAATCAAGGTAAATTGGACGTGGTTGAGCAAGAGATAGCAAGAATGAACACTGACATTTTAGGAATCATTGAACTAAAATGGATGGGAATGGCTGAATTTAATTCATATGACCATTATATCTATTACTGTGAGCAAGAATCTCTTAGAAGAAATGGAGTAGCCCAATGGTCAACAAAATAATCCGAAATGCAGTACTTGGGTGCAATCTCAAAAATGACAGAATGATCTTGGTTCATTTCCAAGGCAAACCATTCAACACCATAGTAACCCAAGTCTATTCCCCAGCCACTAATGCCACAAGAAGATTAAGTTGAAAGTTCTAGAAGGTTTTGTAGGTCTTTATAGAACCTAACACCAAAAAAAAAAAAAAAAAAAAGATGTCCTTTTTATCACAGGAGATTGGAATGAAAGTAGGAAGTCAAGAGATACCTGGAGTAACAGGCAAGTTTGGCCTTGTGGTATAAAATGAAGCAGGGCAAAAGCTAACAGAGTTCTGCCAAGAGAACACACTGGGCATAGCAAACACTCTCTTCCAACAACACAAGAGATGACTCTACACATGGACATGACCAGATGGTCAACACTGAAATCAGATTGATTATATTCTTTGCAGCCAAAGATGGAGAAGCTCCATATAGTCAGCAAAAACAAGACCTGGAGGTGACTGTGGCTCACATCATGAACTCCTAATTGAAAAATTCAGCCTTAAATTGAAGAAAGTATGGAAAACCATTAGACCATTAAGGTATGACCTAAATCAAATCCCTTATGATTATAGAGTGGAGGTGATGAATAGATTCAAGGAATTAGATCTGGTAGACAGAGTACCTGAAGAACTATAGATGGAGGTTTGCAACACTGTATAGGAGTCGGTGATCAAAACCACCCAAAGAAAAAGAAATGCAAGAAGGCAAAATGGATATCTGAGGAGGCCTTACAAATAACTGAGAAAAGAAAAGAAGCAAAAGTCAAAGGAGAAAGAGAAAGATATACCCAACTGAATGCAGAGATCCAAATAATAGCAAGGAGAGATAAGAAAGATTTTGTAAGTGAACAATGCAAAGAAATAGAGGAAAACAATAGAATAAGAAAGACTAGAGATCACTTCAAGAAAATCGGAGTTAACAAGGGAACATTTCATGGAAAGATTGGCACAATAAAAGACAGAAAATGCCAGGACCTAACAGAAGCAGAAGAGATTAAGAAGAGGTGGCAAGAATACACAGAAGAACTATACCATAAAAAAAGGTCTCAGTGACCCAATAACCATGATGGTGTGGTCACTCACCTAGAGCCAAACGTCCTGGAGTATAAAGTCAAGCGAGACTTAGGGGGCATTACTACAGACAAAGCCAGAGGAGGGGCTGGAATCCCAGCAGGGCTGTTTCAGATCCTCAAGGATGATGCTGTGTAAGTGCTGCACTCAACACACTAGCAAATTCGGAAAACTCAGCAGTGGCCACAAGAGTGGAAAAGTTTGGTTTTCATTCCAATCCCAAAGGGGGCAATACCAAAGAATATTCAAACTACCATACAATTTTGCTCATTTCACATACTGACAAGGTAATTCTCAAAATCCTCCAAGCTCGGCTTCAGCAGTATGTGAATTGAGAATTTTCAGATGCGCAAGCTGGATTTAGAAAAGGCAGAGGAACAAGAGATCAAATTGCCAACATCCGTTGGATCATAGAAAAGGCAAGAGAAATCCAGAGAAACATCTCCTGCTTCATGGACTGCACAAAAGCCTTTGACTGTGTGCACTAAAGTCTTTAACTGTGTGGATCACAACAACCTGTGGAAAATTCTTAAAGAGTTATGGGAATACGAGACCGCCTTACCTGTCTTTAAGAAACTATATTTGGATCAAGAAGCAACAGCTAGAACCTTACATGTGTTGTAGAATCCCGAGTCATGAAACACACCTTGCAGGACACTCATGACAGTGGAGTACAGTTTATTACACTAGCAAGTCCAAGGGGAATCACTTCTCAACAAAGACCCTGATGATTTTGGAGGACTTGGTTTCATACATGACTGGTTACACATTAGTAATTAGTTTTACAATATGCAGGTGCAGAAGAATTAACAATTACAACATGCAGGTGCAGGCGTTATCGTTAATCTAACTGAGACGACCTGACCTTTACTTCCAATCTTTGTTTGCCATCCATGAGGAGGGGTTTCCTGGTTTTTCTTTAGTGATGGTTAACAGGGCTCAGGCCCAGTTCACATCCTGCCTTCAGATGGCTGACAGCCTTCAAGAGGGAATTCCTCTTGCCCTCCTCCCAGCAGCCCCAACATTCCCCGCTCTTGATGCTCATCTTATCTTTAACTAATGATGGGCATCAGTAATGGCTAAGTATAGTATATGGGGACTATGTAGCTGTAGCAAGGCTTTCAGTTACACACTAAGTTATATATTATGGAATACAATGCCTAAAAGTTAATAATACAATGATTAATGGAATAATCACAAAAAGATTTTTCCACCAATCACCTTTGATCTGAGAAAATACCGATGACGAAAAATGAGGATTATCATTAGACATAGCTTTTCCCTTAAATGTCACCACATGGCCTTGATCAATTTGGTTAAAGTTCAGATTACACCAAGAAAGAATCGATAGGTTGTAAGTTACCAAAGAAAGAAAAGTTTCTCATTGTTGTCTCAAGAACGAGCAGAGGGGGCTGAAGTCCCTCTGCACAAGGGATACACCCACCAAGGAAGTCCATCCATCATCGATAAAGGCATGGCCCCACAAACCCAACAGTTAAAAGTATTAATCCAGGGAGTGATACCTGCAACTTTAACTGCAGTGGAAGTGGTTAGAACAATTGTGTATGGCCTGTTCCAGGTGGGGGACAACATCTGCTGCTTCCAGCCCTCTACTCATACTAAATCTCCTGGCAAGTATGGGTGTATAGTAGTGCCTAGACAAAATGGAATTTTCTCATGAACATAGCAGGTGATGTCACAGATCACCTTCCCCAATTGTTCCAGTTGCCATGACACCTCCATCCTTCCCCTTTGTCCTGAAGAAGTGGGGGAGGCCTCCCAAACATTATCTCATAGGGGGAATACCCATGCAACCGGGGGGTCATTCTGATCCTCATTAACACTAATGGCAGCATGTCCATACAGGGGGCGCCAGTTTCTTGCACCCATTTTGCCAAAGTCACCTTGATTGTCTGGTTCATTCCCTCAACCATTCCTGAGCTTTGTGGCCTATATGTTGTATGTAATTTCCATTTAATATTTACTACTTTGCATACCAATGAGAGTAACTCAGCCACAAATGCAGGCCCGTTATCTGATCCTATACTCAGAGGGAACCAAAACCTAGGAATAAGGTCTCTCAGCACACATCAGCCCACTTCCTTGACTTTCTCAGCCTTGGTGGGATAAGCTTCCGCCTATTCTGTAAAAGTACATATCATCACCAGCAAATATTTGTATCCTTGGCATGGCTTTACCTCTAGTGAAGTCCACCTCTAGATGTTCAAATGGAGCGGTTCCCTTTAATTGTAAAATCTTGCAAGTTTTCCACATCTGTAACCAATTGAAATGCCAACCTAGAGGGGATGAAAGTCTCCCATCTGAGAGTTTCCACGATCTGTCCTCCCATAGTGTTCCTTGCTCAGTTCATGCCCAGGTGGTTTCTTCCTTGTCATAGACTGGGGCCACTTGGGCAGTTAGTAGGCTGGACACCACAGGCTTCCCCATAAGTTTGGGTGCTGTATTGTCCTAGGGTGGCTGCTTGGATTGGCCAGACAGTTCCCTTTTGCCTAAGGTGTGTCTGCCCTTTGGTGGTCCCCACAGTGTATCACTGCCACTGCAGTGGGATCCCACACTGCTTCCAACAGTAGCAGAATTTCCTCTTTATCTTTTTATCTCTGCCAGTTGCAGTTAATAGCCCCCTTTCCTTATATATGGCCCCATGTACATGTAAGGTAGTGAAGGCATACCGTGAGTCAGTATATATATTTACCTTCTTACCTTTAGTCAATTTTAGGGCACATATAAGTGCCTAGAGCTCTGCTTGTTGAGCTGACCAGTGTGTAGGGAGTCATCCTGCCTCGACTACTGTATCCTTTGTAATTACCATGTATCCAGTTTTCCTGTATCCCTGTTCCAGGTAGCTGGTCCCATCTGTGTAATAAGTCTCATCTGGTTGACTTTAAGGGGATGTCTCTGAGGTCTGGTTGGCTCGAAAAGACTTCTTCTAGCATCTCCTCACGGAGAAGGTGATGGCACCCCACTCCAGTACTCTTGCCTGGAAAATCCCATGGATGGAGGAGCCTGGTAGGCTACCGTCCATGGGGTTGCGAAGAGTTGGACACGACTGAGCAACTTCACTTTCACTTTTCACTTTCATGCATTGGAGAAGAAAATGGCAACCCACTCCAGTGTTCTTGCCTGGAGAATCCCAGGGATGGAGGAGCCTGGTGGGCTGCCGTCTATGGGGTTGCACAAAGTCGGACACGACTGAAGCAACTTAGCTGCAGCAGCATCTCCTCACAGTCATGGTTAGGAGGGCCTTGGCTCACCGGCAAATAAGTTGCTGGGTTTAGAGCCTGACAGGGTTCCACACTTTTTCAGGGATTTCCACATAAAAGCCTTTGATGATGTAACATCTGAGAGGTGGAAAGCCACTTTGCCACTGGCCCTGTTAGAAGAGTGATGATGGCACACAGCACTTCTATTATAATAGTCTGTCCCATAGTCAGTTTGTCAGCTTCTCTTATTAAAATGGCAACAGCTGACATTGCTCTCAGATATGGAGGCCATCCAGAGGCTATGGAATCCAGCCTCTTGGATAAATAAGCCACGGGTCGCTGCCATGAGCTATTGTTTGTGTCAGCACTCCTATGCTACTTGTTCTTTTTCATGGATGTACAGAGTGAAAGGTTTGGTTCAATTAGAGAGGCCTAGTGTGCGAGCCTCTGTCACAGCCTTATGGGCTGGGCCCCTACCTTTAGCTCTATTATCACTAGAGGCTGGTTTTTTGCAAGTTCAGGGGGTTACTTTCAGCCTGTACTTCAGTAAACAGCTTTGCTAGGGCTTTCAGAGTCTCCCCTGCCTCTGGATGACTGATATAGCTTCCATTCATCTTCCTTTGGTATTGTCACAGACAGGAGAAAAGTCTCTGTTCCCACCTGCAATTTCAGCAGTGATTCCTATTGTCTGGGTGCTGGTAAGAGTCAAGAACCCCCCCATCTTTTGTTGGAGTTTCCTTCTAATATCTGGATATGACTGGACCACAAAAGTGGCACTTGTGAGCCTTTGGTTTTCAGGGGTCTCTGGATCAAAGGGGGTATATTGTCGAAAGCCTCACATAGCCTCTTATAAAATTCTGTGAGAGTCTCATCTGCTTTTTGGATCATGGTGTTAGTCTTGGCCACATTAGTAGGCTTGTGAGCCCCACTCTTGAGGCCTTATATAATGGCCATCTTATACCATTTCAAGGATTGCTTACCTTGGTCAATAATGAAATCCCAGTCTGGTTTTGTGTCAGGAGTGGTTTCTCGGGCCCAACTTTCAGGATCCAGTTGGCCCAGCCACTTATGTGCCTCTGTGAGGATCCGGTGTCTTCCTTCCATACTGAAGAGGAGAAGCTGGGCTATGTCATCCCACACAAGTCAGTGGATCCTGAAAATAGTCTCCATTAGATGAATCATACCCTGTGGCTTCTCAGACTAGGGAGGGGTGTGCCTTTGCCAGTTCAAGAGATCCATGGTAAAGACGGCTGATAGTAAAGAGCAGTGGGGCCAGGATGGATGTGCCCGTCTGGCCCCATCTGCAGTGCTGCTTGGACCTCCCTAAGAGGCATTTGCAAAACCTCTCTCTCTTGATGTTCCTTTGTAGACCTCAGCTGCCTCTGAACAGCTGGCTCTCCCTTTTCCCCCCCTCTTCTAAACTGGGGAGGGGTAGGTATAATGTTGGCAAAATAGCTCCCGTTGCACTTGGTGGCACAGTAGGAGGGAGAGAAACCTCCTCCACTGGGGGAGCCGGAGGCAGAAAGTCTTCCTCCTCTCTTGTCCCTTCCTCTTGTTCTGGGAGTTCCCTTCATGTTCCCTAGTATGGAGGGGGAGGTGGGATTTCCTCCTCCTCCAGATCATCCTTTACCTTTTCTTGCTTGGATTCTGCCTGCATCAGCAAAATCTTGCTTTCTCCTTTTCCAAGATAACATACTCGGGCCCAAGGGGGTGGGTTTTGTGCAGTTAGTAGCCCTGAGTCAATGTACGGGAACTGGTCTGGGTGACTTGGCTGTCTGGTTACCACGCAGAAACAGCCCAAACTTTGTCCAATTCTAGGGCTCCCTCTAAGGGCCATCCCACACCAAAGGATGACCCGTCTATTTCACAAAAGGTTCTAAGCTCGTCTGGGGTGAATTTTATACTAGAGTCTCCTCCAAAGCCCTTCTTGAAGTTTTAAATCGTGCATTCAAGAACAGTTGGCTTGGATTCTCCACTACCCATCCTACTTTTCACTTTCCTTCTGTCACTTACGGCAAATCCAACTTCTATTTCATCCAGGATCTTGTACCCCAGCCGCTGCTGATGTCTCTGCTCAAAGAAGCACGACAACTGCCACTTTACCTTGGCTATGACCAGGGTGAAAAGGGCTTCCTTACCTGATAAGTCTTTCAGTGGTAATACCCCTTGTGTTTTTCTCTCAGCAGCCAGCCAAATCCAATCAATTAAGGCTTCCACGTACTCCTCCTTGCATAAGTCTGATCCTGGCGTGATCCAAGTCTGTCTTATCACGGATTGGTGCAGACAAGTGTACGTCCAGAGCCACAGTTCCCAGTCCGGTCCTAAACAACGTTTGCGAGGTCCCTGAATCTCTAAGGAGAACGAGAGGGTGTCACAGCAAAGGGAACCAGAAAATATGCTGACAAATGATCAGGACAGGTTCAGTTAACAGAGTTTTACTTATTTCAGTAAATAAGTATTATTCCCCACTGAGCCTCGGAGGACACAGCCGCCACAGACTCATCCAGCTCCAAGGGGTTGGTCACATCCCTTCTTCCACTATTACAGTGGGATCTTCCAGCGCACTTCCCTTCTGTCATCCACAGTCTTGTGAAGTCCACCTAGAAAGACAAGTCACTAAAACAAGAGCCGATCCAGGGCAGGGGGCACCATCCCCTTTTGGAGGCTGTTGTCACAGCAAGCTGCAGGCAGAGGCTCAATGGCCCTATCTTTCTGAGGGCTTCCTGGCCAATGCACCAGAAATGTTATAGGATCCGGAGTCACAAACCACATCTAGGAGGACTCTCAAGACAGTAGAGGACAGTTTATTACACCAGCGGGTCCAAGGGGAATCACTTCCCAACAAGGACCCCAATGATTTTGGAGGGTTCAGTTTTATACTCCCCACTACATGACTGGTTACACATTAATTAGTTTTACAATATGCAGGTGTGGAAGAAATAGCAATTACAACTTGCAGGTTCAGGCACTGTCATTAATCTAACCAAGACAACTTGACCTTTACTTCCAATCTTTGTTTGCCATCTGTGAGGAGGGGTTTCCTGGTTTTTCTTTTAGGGATGGTTAACAGGGTTCAGGTCCAGTTCATCCTGCCTTAATATGGCTGACAGTCTTCAAGAGGGAATCCCTCTTGCCCTCCTCCCAGCAGCCCCAACACATGGAATTACTGACTGGTTCAAAATTGGGAAAGGAGTAGTTCAAGAGTGTATATTGGCACCCCGCTTATTTAACTTCTTTGCAGAGTACATGTTGCGAAATGCAGGGCTGGATGAATCACAAGCTGGAATCAAGATTGCCTGGAGGATTATCAACAGCCTGAGATATGCAGCTGATACCACTCTAATGGCAGAAAGTGAAGAAGAACTAAAGAGCCTCTTGATAAGGGTGAAAGAGGAGAGTGAAACAGCTAGTTTATATCTCAATACTTAAAAAATTAAATTATGGTATTCAGTCCCATTAGTTCATGGGAAATAGATGGAGGAAAAATGGAAAGAGTTGCAGATTTTATTTTATTTTTTTTGGCTCCAAAATAACCACGGATGGTGACTACAGCCACAAAATTAAAAGACACTTACTCCTTGGAAGAAAAGTTATTACCAACTTAGACAGCATATTACAAAGCAGAGACATCACTTTGCCAACAAAGGTCTGTATAGTCAAAACTATGGTTTTTCCAGTAGTTGTGTACAGATGTGAGAGTTGGACCACAAAGAAGGCTGAGCGTTGAAGAAAATTGATGCTTTTGAACTGTGGTGTTGGAGAAGACTCTTGAGAGTCCCTTGGACTGCAAGGAGATCAAACCAGTCAATACTAAAGGAGATCAACCCTGAATATTCTTTGGCAGGACTGGTGCTGAAGCTGAAGTTCTAATACTTTGGCCACCTGATGTAAAAAGTTGACTCATTGGAAAAGACCCTGATTCTGGGAAAGATTGAGGGCAAGAGGAGAAGAGGGCAACAAAGGGTGAGATGTTTGGATGGCATCACTGACTCAATAGACATGAGTTTGAGCAAAATCAGGGAGCTAGAGAAGGACAGGGAAGCCTGGTGTCCTGCAGTTCAAAGGGCTGCAAAGTGTCAAATGCAACATAGTGACTGAACAAAAATAACAAGAAAAAAATAGAGAAGACTCAAATTATTAAAATCAGAAAAGAAAGTGGGGATATTACTACTGGTTCAATAGAAATAAAAAATAGAGTACTGCGATCAATTGTATGTCCCCAAATTGGATAGCTCTAGGTAAAACAGACAAATTCGAAGAGACATAAAATCTACAAATAAGTAGAAAATCTGAATAGACCTTACCTGTGCTGTGTTTTGCTATCTGTTGAACAACCATTGACAGGAGGATGCTGGAACCCACCAAAAAAGATACCACCCCCCTGCAAAGACAAAGAAAAAGCCACAGCAAGATGGTAGGAGGGGGGCAATCACAATAATATTGAATCCCATGCCCTGTGGGTGGGTGGCTCACAGACTGGAGAATAATACCAAAAAAGTTCTCACACTCTTGTGAAGATTCTGAGCTCCACATCATGCTTCTCAGCCCGGGAATCTGACAAAGGGACTGGGAAACCCAGGGAACCTGACTGGCGGGTTTTGATTATAGGTCTTCTGGAAGACTGGTGGAAAGGGAGATCCAGTCTTGGAGGACATAAACAAGTTTTTTCTTGCACCAAGACCCAGAGGAGAGGAGCAGTGACCCCGCAGAAGACTGAGTGAAAACTACTTGCTAGTGTTGGAGGGTCTCCTGTGGAGGCA